TTTTTTTTTTTTCAGACTCGTGTGTCTCGTATTCAGCAAATAGAGAAGGACATCCTGAGGCTGGGAGCTCGACTACAGGTAAGACCACCTGTCAGCACAGTAACACACCTGTGTAACACTCACCTGTCAGCACAGTAACACACCTGTGTAACACTCACCTGTCTGTGTGTCTGTCTCTGCAGGTAGAGGGTGGTCAGAGCGCAGGTGAGAACAGTGGGGTGGCTGGTGCTCAGGTGAGTGGGCGGAGCTTTGTTCTGACTGTTACCTGTGTGCTTGTCACTGTGTTTATGTTGTTTTTTATGTTCCCAGAGTTCTGTGAGCCGATTGGACCACGACTCAGCCAATGAGACAAGTTACTCTGTGCCTCGACGAATCACAAGCCACCTGGGCACAAAGGTAACTCAGACTGGCTCCCAGGTGGGTGGGAGGGGCTGCCCCGCCCTCCCTCCTGTGTGGGTGGAGCCTGTCCTGGCAGTGACAGCCGTGTGTCGCCCTCTGCAGGTGGAGATGGTGTACAGCCTGCTGTCCATGCTGGGGACTCATGATAAAGACGACATGTCGCGCACCCTGCTGGCCATGTCCAGCTCACAGGACTCCTGCATCGCCATGCGTCAGTCAGGATGTCTGCCGCTACTCATACAGCTGCTGCATGGCAACGACAAGGACTCCCTGTTGCTGGGTAACCAGTCTGACTGTAAACACTGAACATSCACACAGCTGTTCACACATTCATTAAAATAACGTTTCAATGATTCAAGTAATAAAAACTAGGAGCACTCACACAGCACCTCTGTGATCGACACATGTGTACAGCTGCTGGATGCTGATTGGCTGTCACTGTGTGACATCATCACTGAACATGACCCTCTGGGGTCGGCTCTGTTCTGTTTGTGWCAGATCACCATTCTTTGTAACACAAACCTGACATGAACAGAGTTTCATGATATTTTCAGTACACAACATTTAGAGTAAAGTTCTACTGCAAACATAACCTCACTGACAGAGTTTATAATAAAAGATGTAAAAGAGAATAAAATCTGACAAAAACACAACTTATAAGTAGGGTTGGGTTGTATGGATCAGTAGTATACAGTATTACAGTAGTATACAGTATTACAGTATTACAGTATTACAGTAGTATACAGTATTACAGTAGTATACAGTAGTATACAGTATTACAGTAGTATACAGTATTACAGTAGTATACAGTATTACAGTATTACAGTTGTGCGTCCCCTCACACGACTCAAACGTCACCATACTTGGACCTTCAGCCACAGTCACACAGTATTACAGTAGTATACAGTATTACAGTAGTATACAGTAGTATACAGTATTACAGTTGTGCGTCCCCTCACACGACTCAAACGTCACCATACTTGGACCTTCAGCCACAGTCACACAGTATTATTGTTGTATACAGTATAACAGTATTACAGTAGTATACAGTATTACAGTAGTATACAGTATTACAGTAGTATACAGTAGTATACAGTATTACAGTTGTGCGTCCCCTCACACGACTCAAACGTCACCATACTTGGACCTTCAGCCACAGCCACACAGGATGAACTCTGAGGGTAAAGGCCAAACATAAAGGCTGGTTCTGCAGCTTGTGAAGCTCAGCTTGCTGCACACCTGAACATCTACACCTGTGTGGGTTACAGGTAACTCTCGTGGCAGTAAGGAGGCTCGAGCGCGAGCGGCAGCAGCGCTACACAACATTGTGCACAGTCAGCCCGATGACAAGAGAGGGCGCAGAGAAATCAGAGTGCTCCACCTGCTGGAGCAGGTCCGCCATTACTGCGAGGCTTGCTGGAGCTGGCAGGAAAACCACGAAGGAGGTGTGGACCAGGAGGACAACCCCAGTGAGTCACTGGTCACCTGACTGCAGTACTGTCAGTGTGTGTGTGTGTGTGTGTGTGTGTGTTAACTGGTGTGTAACGTGTGTTACAGTGCCTTCACCTGTGGAGCATCAGATCTGTCCAGCGGTCTGTGTCCTCATGAAGCTGTCCTTTGATGAAGAACATCGCCATGCCATGAATGAGCTGGGTGAGTCTATGGCTGCTGGTCCTGGTTCTGGTCCTGGTCCTGGTCCTGGTCCTAACCAGGTTTAGGACCTGGTCTCTGACCTGTGTTTGTGTCCCTGCAGGAGGTCTGCAGGCGGTGGCGGAGCTGCTGCAGGTGGACTGTGAGATGTTTGGGTTGAGCAGTGATCATTACAGCGTGACTCTGCGGCGATACGCCGGCATGGCCCTCACTAACCTGACGTTTGGAGACGTAGCCAATAAGGTGAGAGGAGCTGCTGTTCACCTGTTCACCTGTTCACCTGAGGATCCAGAAAGMTTTCAGTGTCTCCTCCTTCTTCTCCCATCAGGCCACACTGTGCTCCATGAAGGGCTGCATGAGAGCCATGGTTGCTCAGCTCAAATCAGAGAGTGAAGACCTGCAGCAGGTATGTGCAGCTGTTAGCACAGCAACAGGCTGAAASAGGACACACCTGTTCAGGTGGAGTGTCTCTTGTGTTTCCAGGTGATAGCCAGTGTCTTGAGGAATCTGTCGTGGCGTGCTGATGTCAACAGTAAGAAGACGCTGCGGGAGGTGGGCAGCGTGCGTGCTCTGATGGGTTGTGCTCTAGAAGTTCAGAAGGTGAGTGTAACCAGAGTATTTATATTATTTATAATCTGTACATTTATAATCAGTACACGTTTATAATCAGTACACGTTTATAATCAGTACAC